CATTGCTTGGCCCTGTCAAGGCCTTGATCAACCAAACAAAGACATTTATAATAGATCTGATGTTAAAGGCAATGAAAACAAAAATTTCAAATTACAAACTGTTCGATTTTGATGTGATGGCAAACCAAGAACTTGCCACTCCAACTTCTCCAAGCATTGTTGTATCCTTAACACCTCCATTAACAATTGAACAACCAGAGGAGTAGCTCCTACCATTACCAATCAGCACACAAGTGGCCAAAGAACTTTTCTTAGAAAACACTCCTTAGAAATGTGCTACCACCAACCCGGGACAAGAATCACCACAGAAAAAATACAAAACCAGGTTAGGATTACAATACAATAAACTTCATTTTAGATATTTGCCCTTCATTTGATTGTTATTAGGTTATTTTCTCCTTCTTACATATAGTTTTAATTCCAAGCATGAGATGAAAATGATACATTTTGAAATATATCAATCTTCATTTGAATGTTCAACATTTTCAAAATTGACACACATTTCTAGCATTTTTTATGAAAGATTTATCGCTAACATATCAACACAGAAATCTTAAATAAATTAGATTCTTCTGCACATTAAGAGCTGCAAAGAAATAAAAGGTATGTTTTATGGATAATGAAATTCTGTTATTAAAGGATGTTAAAGTTTGCCTTTTTTAATTGTTCATTGCCTTTTTTAATTGTTCATACATAGACTTTATCAATGCTTGATGTAAGTTGTGTATTACTCATATAATTTTAATGTTTTTTGCTTTGGTTCATGAGTTGTTGAGATAAAAATTTCAAACAATTTATGATACTCTGTAATTGCTCTGCTATTGTTTGCAAACAAGGCACACATCAAACCAAAACCTTGATAAAAGCGTAGCGTTATTGAAACTTTTTGTTTATCTATAGCTAATATAAATTCTTAACATCTAATTGCCAGTTACGTATCAAGATGTCTGATTTTTTTGTTCAAGGTGGCATGTAATATTATACACTATAACTATATCTTTTTTGTATATGCTTTACATGCTGGCTGAATATCAAAACACTATTTTACCTAATTACATATATTTTGTAACAACAACAATGACATCTTTTGTAAAACTTCTCAAAAACCTTATCGTGATTTCTATTTACAAGCACTACCTTTCGTACTTAACCTAATGATGATGGTATAAAATTATAAATTGTTGTAATGTTGCTTTACATTTTGTGCTGATATCTATATATCTATGCATTATATTATGACCTTAGATTATAATATTTCAAGACTTTCTACTCTACTGACTCTTAACATTTTGTATATGCAAGTTTTAGCACATGGACTTGCTTTAGTCTTCACCTACAAAATTTAATAAACTGAAAAATATGATAAACACAACTATTACAACATGTATTATTATATATGTGTGCAACGCACAGGTATGCTTGTAGTAATAATTAAATTTATGTGCAAATCATGTCCCTTGTACACAAAAGTTTCCTGTAGCAGCAAGGAAAAAACATAATTCTAGAAACAATAAACTCTAGAGCATACCATATCAACTATTCCAAGAGAGAGTCAGGATCATGAACCATTTATAAAATATGACTCTAATGTTACTTATTTCTTTTTAAAATTAATGTCTCTTTGAACTTTTTTTAACTTTTTTTAGTGTATTAAGAAGCTTTAGTATAATGTTCTCATACTGCAAGAGAAAATCATGCAATATGATTGTTGCTTTGAATACACTTTTGCACAAGATAGACTCTAGTATAGACCATAGTATTCAATCTCATATTCTTAGTCAATTTCCACGACGTTTTTAATGATTTGCTTGTTACGAATAATGATAATTTATAATTCAATAATTAAGAAATATTCGTATAATTACAATACATAATACATGTATTAAATTTAATGTTAAATTAAATTTTTATTAATTAATATATAAATTAATATAGTATTAATTTACCTTTTACTTTAGAGAGATTTTATTGTAAATATTGAAATAAGTAATAACTATACTTTTTTCCTACTTAATTTGTGTATTTTATATGACTCTTAACAGAAATTAGTATTAATGCAATAAAATTTATCAATTGTAACAATGTGTTTAAAAAATAAAATAATTATTATTATATGTTTAAAAAGATGATATTATAAACATAATATTGAAAACGTCTTCCAATTAAATCATCTATACACCGCTAATTTCTTGTAGTATATTCCAATTAATTTAACATTTTTAACCTTTGGAGAAATTAATATACTAACCACTAGTTTCCAGTTAAAATATCAATACTATGATTAAACTATGACTTATAATTTACAAATTTATCATAAATTAATATGTTTCCAAGTCAATGAAAAATAAAATTTTTAATTTAATAAAAGTTTAGTTTGAGTAATTAAAATTCAATTTAATGATAATAAAATATATTTAAAATAAATCTAAAAGTGATAAAAACACAAAAAAAAAATTCATTATATAAATTTTATTGTATAATGATAACAAAACTTTACATTTACGGACATTTAAATATACAATGCTTATTATTATACTCTTTTCTTTCTTACTTACTTTTCATTATTTTAAATATTAATTATTATTTAAACTAATTCTATATATATGATTGGGTTAATTTTTCAAAAAAATATTTACATATTAAATTTATTTTCTTTCCTCTATCTAAAAAAAAGAAATTAAAAAAATAAAAAAAAGAATATTAAATTGAAGCTACTTTGCGTTTTCCTCCTTTTCTTTTTTAATTTCCAAAGAAAAGCTTTTTTTTTCTCAAAAACTTAAAAAATTTTAAAAAGAAGAGAGAATAAAAAATATACCTTTTTTCTTTCAAAATTAAAAAGTAAAGAACCAAAAAAAATTAATTAGGTTGGGAAGATCCATGGGACTGCCACGTGGCACTCCATGGAGGTTTGTACCGCCACTTACGTAAGTACAAAAAATAAAAAATAAAACTCCAAACTATACAACTAATTCTCTGTACTTGCCACGTGTCATGCAAGGAGTACGTCAAATATATTAATTAAGAATTCAAATATTGTCCGAATATCAAGCTATTAGACATCTAATTTGCAAAAGAGGATTATGCACAATTCCCACGTAATAATATCAACTTAATTAATAAAATTCCATAAAAACTTTAATCAAAACAATAAAGTGACGCACAAAAATAAGTTTATATTAGTAATTTGTCTACATAAATATCACGAATGGAGTCAATATTTAAATAATATTTTAATCAATTATATTTTTTTATTTTTGGCATATACTTAAAAAAATATATTGTTTTTCTCACAAAAAATTATTCTCCCACATGTCTCTCTTGTCTCTCTCACCCACATAATGGATATGCACAAAATTGCGATAAAGATAATGTGTACGTAAATAATATAAACTTTAAAATATAAAGATTAAATGTCTTATTCCAACTACTTGGATAAGTATTGTTTTATTCCCTATCATTGATTCATTTCCCAACCACAAAAAGGGCAATGCCATATGAATTTAGAAAATGCAAGTAATAGTGTTAACACAAATTAATGGCATAACAAGTTATTTTTGTCAACTTGAAGGATAAAAAATTTGATGCGTTTTCTTTACTCGGTTCAATTTCTTTTTTTCAAACCATTTAGTATTTAATATTTTGTTACAAAAAAAAAATGGTTGCTACAAATAAAAAATGATTAAATAATTATGATTTAATCAAATGCGAAGGGAGGGACCCATCCTCCCAAATTTTGAAAAGTTTATAATTTTATAATTTTACTCCTATTTTTTAAAAAAATTAATAATTCTATCCTCAAATATTGAACATATTGTTTTTCCCCTCTCAAGCATGAAATCTTGACTCTGTCATTGGATTTAATCATGATAAAAATCATTTCACACTTATATGACTTGATTATTAAATAAATTATACAACATGGTATGCAATTTAGAGAAGGAAAGAGGTAGAAGATGCGTAGAGAGAGAAAGAAAATGTGAAAATTAAAGAAATTCTATATTATGATGATAATTTTTAAATTTATTTAAGGCTAATTTTTGTCCAATAAAAATTTTGACCTGATCCATATCCTTGGAATAGCTATTACTAAGGTCCCTTTTACTCATGATTATTCAGGTTTCTTCAAAAATGACAATTCTAAGAAAGCAAACAAAGTTTTTAAAGGGAGTTTAGGAATATGAGGAATGGCTATTCCATTCCCCAATCAAGCATGTTGTGAGAGTGAAAGAGTGGAGAATTTAGTGTACAGATTTTCTTTTTATTGGGAGAAAGAGAAAGAAAAAGTGCTGTTGAACCAAAAATCCTTGTAACTTAATAAAGAAGTAATTCTTTTGCCGATTAGTATTGAAACTCATATGGGTATGCAGATGGCCGATCTGACCATCAATTGTGATAGAAGAATAGAAGAATCCTTCATTAAATTGTGATAATATTATCTTTGAGGCTAGTATCAGTGTAGGAAATATTTTGTCACAATTTCTATTAGAATTTTAATTTCATGTTAATTAGTTATTTTTACCATTTTTATTATTTAACTACATTATAACCTTAAATCAAACTTAATAGTAAAACTCTAATTTATTTATTTGAAAAAAACAATTAGTTATCACATTATAATCCTAAATCAAATGTAAAAAACACTTAAAAAATACATCACTAAAATTAAAAAGCAAAATTATTTTGAAATCTCTTTTGGTTGAATAATTTGACGTGATAACATTTGATGAGCTGATACTGTAACAGTGCATAAATATAAATTTATTATTTAATATTGATTTTTTATTAAAAATAATTAAATTTGTTCGTTCCTGAGGCTCAAATTCAAAAGGCCTCTTGTTATTTCTGTAGAGCCCGCATTGCCAAAAGAATCTTAACACGTGTCACTGAGGAGTGAGGAGATTGTAGCGAGCATCGGCACCGTCCTTTCGTGATCGTGAACGCTACATCATCTTCACCAAACCAAGCCCTTGGCCTTCTTGTGTTTGGGTGTCTTCGAACCTCTCCAACAGTGAAAAGTAGTGACAACTTAGCTCTATATATAAAGCCGAATCTCAAATTCCCTTTGCATTTCTCTTCCTCTTTACAAAAGAATAAAACATAATCAAAATACAAACAAACTAGTAGTGCAAATATCTCTCTCCCACTGCCACTCAGATTGCCTTGCACTCATTTTTCCACCCATTTTTCCGGGGCTTAAGTAACATAATATAATTTGTTTGTTTGTTTTTTTGTCAGCCATTCTTCTTTACTTTTCCAAAAATAAATCCACATGGCTTTGAAATCTTCAAACTTGTTGAGGAGCCATCTTTTTGACGGTAACTCTAGAATCCAAGAACAACTACAAAAGGAAATTTCCTTTGTTTGCTCTTTTTCTGCTAAAGTAAACAACTGGGTATTTAAAAAGATATAGGATTTTTTCTGGGTGACAGGGTTTTTGTCCAGGGGTAGAAGAGAGAAAAGGAAAGTAATGGCTAAACCGGTGAGGCTCAAAGGGGTGGATGATGACTTGCAGAAGATTTTGGATGCTAATATGGATGAAGCACCAGCTAGAAGAAAAGCTAGGGAAGCCTTTAAGAAGTTTCAGCTTGGAATTGATCATATTTTGTTCAAGGTCATTACTTTCCAACTTCATACTTCAAATTTATGCCTTTTGTGTTTTGGATAGTAATATTATGTATTGAGTTGAATTATTAGTTCTTATTTTTTTTCAGTGACTCCTTTTTGGAGGATTTGATTGAGTTGATATATATGTAGATAAGGAATGGCTGGATTGGAATGAAAATTGGGTTATAATTAGAATGAGTAGACAACATCCCAATGTCAAAATTCAGTAGAGAATGTGCCTTTCTTTTCGTTTGATAGTATTTCAAATGGATAAGTCATAAGTTTGTTGTGTTAGTTGGCTTTAGTTCATTTCATTTTCTGGATTCTTGTAATTTATAATTAGCAGGATGCGGTTGAGTTGATACATTAAGGGGCACAATAAATTTTATTAAAACGGAAATTGGTAATTATCAGTATGAGTGACAAAGTGTCACTGCAAGAATTCAGTTCAGAATCCCTTTCTTTTTCAGTTTGATATGTCAATTATATAATTTTAAAATTTTGAGTGGTTGTTGGGTGAATATTGATTGGTCTACTGTTTTTGCATGTGTTGCAGACACCTATAGATGGATTGAAGATGAATGAGGTAAAAGCTCTAGACTTGTTCTTCTTGTCTTTTTCTCTTTTCTTCTTTTGTTTGTCTTGGTAGGCTTTTGTACACCTTGAATTTACCATAGTAGCTTTATTCCTTTGCTTATGCATTCTTTTCTTGGAATATTTAAAGTTTTATATACGGGCATTCATCGCTGAAATTTGATGCAGGGGGAGAGAAAAGACATCTCCTCTATCTTTGCCTCAGCAAGCAAGTTTCATATTATACGTATAAGATGATTCCCAATTCAAATGAAAATGTTATTTTTTGAAAAAATCATATGTTTCGTTATTATGTTTATGCCGAAGAAAAGGCCACCATACTAGCCATTAAAAAGATTAACCTTCAGCAACTGGAAAGCTTTTTCCTTGTATTTTAAAAGAAAATTTCCTCACTGTAATTATGCTATGATGTTAATTATTCAGTTACTTTTTTTCCCCTTGTATGCAATTGATGGGGTTCATACCTAAGTTGTTGTCTACTGTGCCAGCAAAATGTTTAATTGCCCCATGTTGGATTTTTTGCAGTCGCTATAGTATACTTAATAATCAGTTGATATTTTAAAATTTTGTTGTACAGTCATATGAGGTGAATTCTAGGGGATTGGAAATTTTCTCAAAAAGTTGGCTTCCAGAGACCTCCTGCCCCAAGGCAATGGTGTTCTTTTGTCATGGTTATGGAGACACTTGCACATTTTTTGTTGAAGGCATGTAGTTCATAACAAGTAGTGGTAATGACCATTTTGTAGTTTTGGGTATGTTGTTGCGGGACCTAATTATTTTTGCCATTGTTAGCAGGTATTGCTAGGAAATTGGCATTGTGTGGGTATGGAGTTTTTGCAATGGATTACCCAGGATTTGGTCTGTCAGAAGGTCTTCATTGCTATATTCCCAGCTTTGACAGGCTTGTTGATGATGTGATTGAGCAATACTCCAAAGTCAAAGGTTTGGAGTTTTTTCCCTCTAAGCCCTAATGATATTGAATCTTTTTGGAGAACACAGGTTGTGTCAAAATTTTATCTTAGATAGGCTTAGATTTCCTGGATAGAAAAATTCATTGATACCCTTGTGCAATGAAGGAGGTAAAGTAACTTGGTATAGGGTTTGAGTTCAGTACATTGTGGAATTTTTTGGGTATAAGTGCTTGGCAATTCATCATCCTCTATGATTTTTGTTGTATGCTGAATTAATATTTGAATGTCACAATTCATCTTATGATAAATGACTCCCATGCTCCTAGCCCTAGGAAATTTATGACTTGCTTTGCACATGGTTTCTCAATTCTAAATTGAGTGCAAAAGATTGGCACTGCCCTTCTGAAGATGACAAATTTTGCTTTCCCAGCCTCTTCGGTTGCATATAATTGACTAGAGCTGGTTGAAAGTTACATCAAATTAATTTCTTAAAGCACCCTCTGATGATAAGATGACCTGGACTATTTTGGGAAAAACCATCACAAATGTTTTTGTTGAAACTCCTGGTTTTGGTGATCTGGCCGGAATAGTTTGATATAAACTGAAGCTGCAGGGAGAATGGCACTTATCGCGGTTTCAATATCCAACGGAGGGATGTATCAAGGCACACCTTAATGCTTTGCTAAGTAAAGAAAATAGAAAAACTTCTCAAAGGGAAGAAAAAATAATAAAAAATTGAAAAGAAGGATAAAATATTTGATTTTCCACTCATGTGCTTTGTTAGATGGATTTGGAAGTGAATTAATTCGTAAAATTTTAGAATCTTCATTTTCTCTCACATTGTCCTCTTCGGAGTTTATATAATTTGTGTGATCAAAATTTTTATATTCAGGTGAAAGTTGCACACTCACATTTTCATTTTCTCACTCTTCTACTCTGATCATATCAAGTACAAGGAAATTGCACTTTCTCCGTCCTTTTTGAAATTTTTCCTTTCCATCCTCTCACTTCTCTTCATTTGCACACACAAGAAGCGACTTGAATCTTTTCTGAAAAAGAAAGGTCTGGGAGCTTTGGACTAGGCTGCTGGAGAGATCGATGTGAAGCAGTTTCTGTCCTCCTTTCTACCGTATCAAGTAAAAAAAAATTACACTTTCACCTTCCTTCATCATTCTTCTTACTTCTCTCTAATTGTGCACACAAGAAATCACATCAATCTTTTCTCTTAATTGATTCAAAGCATTATCTGTCCTCTTTCCAAGTGAGATGTAGAAGTTATATTTTTTAATTGTTTCTTCTCAAAATGTATCAGCTACAACTAAAACAGTGGACAAGGGAAAGAAAAAATTTAATGAAGTTATTTTTGAATTGGAATATTGTTATTTTACCTATGCAAACGTTGTCATTTTTATCATTATTGTCATCACTTCACTAAAAGATGAATTGGAATGATGCATTTTGTTTGAGTTCTGTTTTTGTGACTCATATATATGTACCTTTATGAGAAGAAGCTTCAGTTTTTCTATTTTCTCTGGCAGGTCACTTATTTTTCCTTCATAGTGAATAATGATGTTTGGTTTACTTAATGTACTTTAGTCTTCTCGTATTTTATTTGAAGGAAGACTTTTTCCCTTCAGGTCTTCGTTATGTTCAATTAATTTAAAAATTGCCAATCGCCTTGGTTACTGGATTGCTCTTGATGTTTAATTTTGTTGGATTCAATAACAGAGAATCCTAAATTTCGGACCCTTCCAAGCTTCCTATTCGGGCAGTCCATGGGTGGAGCTGTAGCTCTGAAGGTGCATCTAAAACAACCTAATGCCTGGAGTGGTGCCTGTCTTGTTGCTCCTATGTGCAAAGTATACTTCTGAGCCGAAACATTTACGGACTTAGCATGCATCTTTTTTAAATCCTAATAATTGGAATACTTTGTGTAGATTGCTGATGACATGGTTCCACCCTGGATAGTGAAGCAAATTCTGATTGGTGTGGCTAATCTTCTCCCGAAGCAGAAGTTAGTCCCACAAAAGGATTTGGCAGAGGCAGCATTTAGAGACATTAAGAAGAGAGAACTGGTTTGTTTCTATGGTTTATTTGAATGATTTGAAGTGTAGTTGATGTTTTGGTAAATGTTATGGATGTCCTGTAGAATGTTTAAGTGTGTAACTGTGGCATTTCTATGCAGTTCATTATCTCTCTGATTTAATCTTTCATCTTCTCTGCATTCATAATAATTTTTTGAATGAATAACCAAAACTTCTGTTATAGAAATTTACTTTTTAGTTTTCTGCCAATGCAGACACCCTATAATGTTATTGCTTACAAGGACAAGCCACGCTTGTGGACTGCTCTAGAGATGCTGAGAACCACTAATGAGATAGAAAAAAACTTGGAAAAGGTCCATTTTCCTTCTACCTCTCTCTCTAATAACTATTCTTATTTATTTTTGTAAAACGAAATTTGAATCAACTTCTTCTCTGTTGCTTTATTTGGCCTGTTACTCTTTTACTTTGTACTCAGAGAAATATGTATATCTGTGCTTGTTTGGCAGTGTGTTTGTGTATATTTCTCCAGAGAGTTATGTAGTGTAATGTTTGATAGCAATCAACCATACTTTAGCATCGTGTCTTCAAGCATCCCCAACTTGTTTTCCTTAAAAGTCAAATAAGCTAAATGTTGTTAAATCCTGAACAAGTGCTCTATAGACTGTTTTAAGAATCTTTTAGCTGAAGTTGTGGATCTAAATGACTGAAGTGTTGCATCTCTACCTAGGAAGATGAGATATGTATGTTGCTTAGGCTATGATAGGGGCAGGGTCTCAATTACCACATCATTACCTTACCACTAGCAGTCCAGGAGTGCCCACATATAATATGCTTTAGTTCTTTCCTCAGTGTTATTGGATCCTATGCTGCACAAATTTTATTCACAAATGATGCCAAGATAGCAATTTCTGTCAGATCTTAGCTCCTGGATATCCCTAATAAGGAAGCCCCAGAGACACCTCCAGTTCAACTAAAATTCTTAGACATTATTGGGCTTTAAACAATGTTGTCATTGACTTGGAATATGTTTTCAACAACCGTTTTGATTTCAAGTTTAAAACTTATGATTGATGACTACAACTGTGATGATTTCAGGTTTCGCTTCCAATCTTAATCTTGCATGGAGAGAATGATGTTGTAACTGACCCATCTGTTAGCAGAGCCTTGTACGAGAAAGCAAGAAGCTCGGACAAGAGGATTATTATTTATAAGGATGCAGGCCATTCTCTTCTTGAAGGGGAACCAGATGATATGATTCTTAGAGTTTTTAGTGATATAATTTCTTGGCTTGATGAACATAGCAGTAATACTGCATGCTAACCTCATATCTTTATTTGGTTCCCTACATTTTCTTATACAAAACAATTCAACAAAGGGAATAAAGATCCGAGAATAAGGATCCGCTGCGGTAGATCTCTGGATTGGTTACATTCGTTGTATATTCAGGAAATTAAATTAAGTAAAGAGATATTTTCTTGTGTTATAAACCTGGTTTACATTATTAGAGGTACTCTTGTTTTTTCCTTTTTGGTGCATGTAATGAATAAACAAAAAATTCATATGAAAGAGAAACAAAATAAAAGTCATAGTTAACTGATGTTATCCCATGATAAAAGAAATTTATTTTAAAAAATTCTTAACGTGCACGTTAAATGGTTTTGCTTGTCTTATTGACAACGATGGCTCTTGAATAATTTCCTTTTGTTGAATGGAATATGTTTTTCCTTAAATTCTCGTGATCAAAAGTTAATATTTATTTTGAAACTAGCTTTGTATTACGAGATTAAATGACTTTTAAATATATAATTATGATTTTTTTATTTATTAAGTATGTTTTTTATGTTGAAAACGTGAATTCGTGATATTTTATCTTAATTTTGACTATTCACTCATATTTTTTTTATTTTAAAAAAATTTAAATAATTATGCATACATTCATCCACCATGTGCGACTTTTAAACAATTACATGTTTGACCGTTAATCAAGTTAGTGAAGTATATTTGTAACTTTCTAATATGATGACATTGGATGCTTTGGATTAATTTAAATATGACTATTTTGGATTTATATGCTTTTGATTTGTAATCGTTTTGAGTTTTAACTTCTTTAAATTCAAGTATTTTCCTTCATAATCAACTCCAATTGAGTTTAAGTCCAAATTATTTTTGATAATAATCTATCTTGTACTTATAGGTTTTTTAATTGTTTGTTTCATTGTGAATTAAGACAGTTTAAATTTCATATTTAGCTCAATTAAATACGATATAAAAAAATTACTTAATAAGTTTTATTCGTATTGGATTTGATAAAATTATCATTAGATAAATTACTCATACTATTAACAAATTTAATAAAAAATTACCCATAATATCACTTCAAATATCACATAAAAATTCTTTTTTTTTTTAATTTTTTGTTTTTTATTTAAAAGAGGTAGAATTGAAGTTGAACTCTTTAAACTGGAGACAAAGGCATGCAAAGTCTATGCTGGTTGCCTTACCCTACAAAAGCATAATTAATTCACAACGTGTCATTACCAAAATTGGCCAAACCCAACCGAGTTAATGTCTGCAAGAGGAATCTATGAATCCAATCAACAAAATCCACGTGTCAAAATCAGATGGGACAGCAAAAACAGAGGTGCACCAATTATCCATTCCCAACAGAAACAACAAGCAAGGTGAGTGCAGTACACTGTTATGCGACAAAAGTTTGCAAGTGGACACCACCGGCTGTCTTGGCTTATGTGAACAGGTCTTCCATTTTTAAAAAACTCTTCTCCGAAAGTAGCCTTTGCAATTTTCCCTTTCTTTCCTCTTTTGCCTGCGTGTCTTCCTGTCTTTCCCTCTTAGTGGAAATTCCTCACCTCACCAAGTCACCATTTTTTTTTTGGGTCGTCACCGACTACTGCTAGTTTGACAACTGACTGTTAGGCAATAGGTACTTAATAAAAGCTCATGAAGAAGCCATTTTTGTTGCTTTTGTTGAAGGGTATTTCAGTTTTTCAGCAATCATGGTCTTTTCTTCTTGCAGCTCCCGTCCTTTAGTCTCACTAAAGGTTTGCTTTTTTATGCTCTTTAGCTTACTTTTTTTTTTTTAACTTTTTTGTATACCATTTTGAGGTTTTTGGTTGGTTTCTTATTGTGGGTGTTATTTGAAGGTTTCTGCTTTTTGTTGTTTAATTTGTAATGGTGATGGAAAAAGAGCTTTAAAGGACTGGAATTGGGTTTGTTTTGTATTTTGGAACAATCAATTTGGTCATATAATTGGCATGTTTAAGTCTAATTTGTGCTATACCTGAGATGTGGTTTATGGCTTAGTTCTGGAGTAAAACATTTGTTGAAAAAGATTATAGCTTTTTCAGTATTAGAAATGAAGATTAAGTGATTTTTGGTAATCTGCATGGTGGACATAATTTTGACTATGTTTTTGTATGCTTAGTTGATATATCTGAACTTTGATTAAATCCAAGCACACTGAAAACTGCAATCAAATGATTGTTTGGTCATATAAAATTCTCATTTCTCAAATTTAAAGTGGAAATTGTTCTTTGGTACTTATGTTTCTTTCTTGAAGTTTTCTGTTTTCTGCGTGTCCGGGGCTTGCTTTTTAACATTTTCAACTTAAACAAATAATACATACATCAATTTGAATGACTGGGGGTGCAGTGTTATCCCCTAATGAATTTTATCACAAGATAGATATTTGCCCATAATGAGGGAATATTATCAGTTTAAATGTAAAACTGTGGTGTATTATCTTTTATCCCTCATCTCAGATGTTATTTTTATTTTTATATGTTAATGAACTTGAATTTTGATGAGCCATCTAATTGACTCAGTGAATTTGTCTAATTATGCGGTTTATAGATTAGCCACTTTGAGCAGCCTAGTAATCTTCGTCATAATGTGAAAGTGGACCAAAGATTCACTTCTGCTCTCAAAAGCAGGACTACTGAACACTTTGGTCAGCGAGCAGGAATTGGATCTGGCGTACTTGGTGAATGGAGTTTTGCTAGAGGAACAAGACTTGTTATTAGACAAAAAGTTTCAACATTTGTTCATTGTAGAAAAAGCTTTGAAGTACAAGCTTCATGTAATTCTTTTTACCTATTTTAGTGCTTATTTTTCGGAAGTTTACATACTGCCTTTTTTTTTCTTTAATAGTTCAAGCTTTATGCTTGTCACATGGCCAGAATTGTGTGACTCTTGCCATGTTGAAAGAGGAGTTGCACCTTCTGAGAGAGTATCTTACATTCTTCTTTTCAGCGTCACCATGGTCCTTCTGGAGCTCCTTTATCTCTAATGTTAGCAGAAATAAATAACAAATGATTGTATTATGTCTTGTCTGCCAAAGTTTGGGTAGACTTCTGCCATGTCACCTCAGGGATTGCTAGGAATTTATTCTTTTGGCTGTTTTATATCGTTCCTCTCTTTGTACCTAGTTAAACTTTTGCTATTCTTAGCGTCCATCTGTCAGCAAAGTTCATCGGCATTAGGTCCTTTCCTGCTTTTATTTTTGGGCACCTCACCTCGTCGCAGAAACCAGTATTTTGCTAGACAAGATACTGAATATTAGTGAACATGTATGGAAAAGAGGGAAGAAAAGAAATTGATCTGTTTTTGCCAAGTGAAGAATCTGGCATCTGCTGGAGGGAGATCCACATGTTTTTCTTTCCTGCATAAATTTTTGCTGCTGAGAGGTTGAAAAAGTCTAAGTTGGAAATTTCCACTACTGCTTTCTTGGTTCTGCCTGTGCCATTTTACGCTTGGCTGTGGGACCAATTTCCCTGTGCTGCTGCCTGGTTACTTACTGATGTCCTACTTGTAGCAATCTGATACTCGCATCATTGGTTTACACTATGTGTGCTTATGCTGAAGTGCTCTTAAAAGGTCCTTAATTTGTAGCATGTACACAATATATCCTCTTAAATGCCATCTAATTTTGGGAGTGTTTCTCATGATGGTCAATGATAATGGAAATGATAATTCTGAGTATTGGCTGAATATTGAAAGAAGTCAATGAAGTCAACATTGCCAAGCATTTTCTTTCATTTTTCCTAACCCGCATATGCTATCACTTTTACAGGGTTGACAACTTCTCAAATTGCTAGCAGCGTATTTACCTTGGGAACAGCAGCAGTTCTTCCGTTCTATACTCTCATGGTTTTTGCTCCTAAAGCTGAATTGGTAAGTTTCTTATCATTACTAGGGATATCTAGTTTGTCATTGTTCTCTTCTATTGATTTCTGAGTTTCTGTTTGCCATGTCTAGCTTAGGAATCTGAACTTTCTTTATAAATCTCGTGAATCTGGAAATAATTATTCAGGGAGAATACTACTGGAATAAAAGTTTGTAATTCAGTCTTTCCTTGTGGGGACATTGATTACCTGTGCTTTCTTGGACACATTGTTTCAATATATTTCCACAGTGGTCCTAAACCTTTATCAAGCAAGAAGTTTTGGTGAACCGGTTGTAAATTTGTACTCTCTATCTCTGAGATTTGGTGGTTTGTAATTGTTTTTCTTTCTTTTTTTGCATTTAAAGAATTTTTAGTATATAGATCATCAAGTTCTTGGTTTGTCTTTATAATTTGTTAGAACTTTTGTAATATCATGTAAGCACCTACAATGTCTAGACTATATACTGCACCTGTAATCGGGCTTTTGCATATGGTGCCTTAGTCTTGGAAACATTTGAACCTTGCAATCATTCTTTTATGATTCATGTAAATATTTTGAGCCCTGCAATGTTTCTTGAGTAATTCATGTATCTGGCTGGCATATCTCCTAATGCAGACTAAAAAGTCTATGGAAAGTAGCATCCCGTATATTGTGCTCGGACTTATGTATGCATACCTGCTGTATCTCTCCTGGACACCTGATACATTAAGGCTGATGTTTGCTAGTAAATACTGGCTGCCAGAGGTACATGTTTATCAGCACCTAGATTGATTTGATTGTGATATCTCTCTAGTGTGTTTAAGAAATACATGGTTGTCAAATGACAAACTGCCAATGAGGTGCTCATTTTTAACTTTGATTTTTTTCCCACCCTGAGTTTTAGCTATCTGGTATGGCCAAAATGTTCTCTAGCGAAATGACATTAGCTTCTGCCTGGATTCATTTATTGGCCGTAGATCTCTTTGCCGCAAGGTCTCTCTCTCTCT